GGGCTGGGCACAGGCCTAGCTGGGCAGGAAAGAAACATCTAGTCTCCCACTGGAGCTGCTCCCCGTCCTTGGCCTGCAGCGCCACCTCGTGGCCAAGGTTCCAAGGCGCTTTTCCCCTGACTGTCCCTGGCCCCTCAGGATCCACCCGGGCAAGCTGGCCACCTGCCCAGCCAGCAAGCTTCCCAGGGAACCTCTGGCATCAACCTCTAGGCAGCCCTCCATTGCTTTCCCTTCGAATAAACCTCATTCATCCGTCAGGGACTCCAGATCGACTGCAGCCAGGAAGCCTTTCCAAACTGCTCCAGCTTTTATTTATTTTTTTAAAAAATTATTCTATTTATTTTCTACAGAGAGGAAGGGGGAGGGATAGAGAGTTAGAAACATCGATGAGAGAGAAACATCCATCAGCTGCCTCCTGCACACCCCCTACTGGGTGTGTGCACGCAACCAAGGCACATGCCCTTGACCGGAATCGAACCCGGGACTCTTCAGTCCGAAGGCCGACGCTCTATCCACTGAGCCACACCGGTTTTGGCATCACCCGTGACATTCTCTATCGAGTTCATCATCTGTGCCCGGTTGTGCCTCATGCTTCAGTAGGGAGCATGGTGCCTGGCCCAGAGCGGGCCCTTGGAAAAATCCCTCAACTCAGGGGATGTTTACCGCTTCCCCCTCCCTGCCCCAAGAGAGCACTCAGCCCGGCTGGCACAGGAGCCCTGCCCCTCACCCCCCCCGCACGAAACCAGAGCTGGCGCCACCGGGTGAGGAATCTGGGGACCAACTGTCACAGCTCCGGTGTCACCGCCTCCAGGACGCTGGGTCTGGCTCCGAGTCCCAGGGGGGCCCTGTCAGCCAGCTGTCCTGGGGGACCCCGTCTGCCCAGCCCCTCTGTGCTCTCTCCCGGGGGAAATCAGAGAGTGCAGAAGACCTGGCGGGGGAGCTGGGTGGTGGTCCCAGGAGCGGAGGTGTTTGTCCGGGCCCAAACCTCAGGCTGGGCTTCAGAGCCCCGAGAAACCAGGTCCATCACAACAGACGCCCCGCAGCGGCCTGCTCTCTCCTCCCAGCTCCGGTTCCCTCACAGTTACTCCTGTTTGTCCGTCACTGGGTCATGTAGACTAGCTTCTGTGTCCTGCCAAGGGCAGAGATCAAGTTGGCTGTTTCTTTTGAGTGGCCTGCAAACTTCTCCCCCTACGTTCTCATTGACTGGAATTAATGAGCTGTGTGTTCCAGCCACTGGCTGGTGTTTACATAACAAGTGGGCTCCCCCTAAGGGAGGGGTATTTAAAAAAAAAAAAAAAAAAAAAAAAAGGAAAGAAAACAGCGGTCCCCTGAAGCACAGGAGAAGAGACCCACCTGACTAGGACAGATGGGAAGGCGTCCTGAGAAGAGTAGGGAGATGGGTCCGATAACCTCTGGGAGGGCCAGCCAGCCAGGCAGGGCAGCCTGGGGGTGTCTTCCTCCCTCCCCAGGGGCAGGGAGGGGCAGGTATTAGGTGTTTGCCCCCTTCCCTTGGGACGCGGTGTGTAGACAGTGATAACAGGTGCCCAGGTTTGCTTAGAAAAGAAAGATACACACACACACACACACACACACCACCCCCAATTCTTGTCCTCCAGCCTCCCCATGAACCCTGGGCCACCATCTCAACTGGGTCACCTTTCCTGTCTTGCAGCCAGGCCTGTCTACACACGTACACACACACACACACACACACACCCCACACACCCCACACATACAGCCAACTCCACAACTCCGTAGGTCCCTTTGTTCCTCAGGTCTAAGGCCAGGAGCCTGGTGTGTGTGTGTGTGTGTGTGTGTGACAGAGAGAGAGAGAGAGCGAGAGCGAGAGCGAGAGCGAGAGAGAGAGAGAGAGAGAGAGAGAGGGAGTTTGCCTGCATTCCAGTGCTCAACAGGAATTATTTTTGGAATTACCTGCTCTTTGTTTGGGGTGATCTTATTTCTGCAGGTCTAGATCTAGAGCTGACCAAGTGGGTCAGGGTCTCCAGTGCCTGGCACGTCCTAAGAGTTCAATACATGAATTCATTTCAAGAGCTGAATAAATGAGTTACATTTAATTAATAAAGATCTAAGTCTAGCCAGAGTCAGCGGAAGGGAAGAGCAGCCCAGGCCAGGAAAGCAGCACTGACTGAGCACCGAGGAGAGCCAGGCACCTGCCAGCAGCTTGGCTTATTATTCCCACTGAGGAGAGGAGGAAATTGAGGCTCAGCAGCCAGTCCGTGCCCGAGGGGCAGAATAGGCCGGCTCCTTCCCCTCCCACCAGAAGCGTCACGTAGGCCGTTACCCGCAGCACGCTCTTGCTTCTGGCTGAGGCAGGGCCCTGTGCTGGCTGGGCACCGGGGGCCTCGGTGGGGGACCACGACACAGATGAGATACAGTCCCATTCGCCGAGGTCCTGGCGGGGAGACACATGCCACCTACACACTTTCCTGGTCACAAGGCAGAGAGGGAGGGGTAGGGTGGAGTGGGCCAAGCCATCTATGTCTAAGCCTGGGGCCCTTATTGTCATAATTCTAGGTTGGCTTTGGAGAGAAAGCTGGCGTGGCCAACGTGAGGGCCAGTGGAGGAGGGGAGTTCCCTGGACAGAGGAGGCCGCCAGCCTCTGAAAACAAGGGAAGGGCTCATCGGACCCCCACCCTGGAACTGGGGTCCTCTGCTTCCTGGACACTCTGGTGGCCGGTCCCCAGTGTGGATGGACATGCCCCATGCCCTGTGCAGGCACACACACGCCCGTGTGTACACCGGTGCCAGAGGCCTAAGTGCACTCACACGTGTTCTGCCCTCCAGGGCCCGGGTCCGCAGTTGCCTCTCTCTCCTTGGAGATCCGTCTGGGGCCTCAGCAGGACACCCGGGGGTGGACGTAAGGAGCATGAACACCCCCAGGGAGCTGACCGGTCCTTGTTGGGCCGGTGAAGTGGGTCCAGCAGGGGCCACGGTCCCCCCTACCCCACCCCTTTGTCGACCCCTCCCCACCCAGCAGCTGGCCCCCTCCTCACGCAGACGCACAGTTTCTGCCCTTTGTTTTCCTCCCTGGCCAAATCCCCCAGGCTTCTTCGGGCATTAACCTCCTGCTTTAATGAGCGTTAGTGAGGAGGAAAGTGGAAGCAGGGCCATGGTGGGTGTCTGGGGCGCAATCTCATCTGGGTGGGGATAGAACGCTCAGACCAGCTGGTGACAAAGACGTAGTCTGCCACACAGTAAGTCCCGTGCAACTGCTTGCTTTTCTACGAATGTGAACATCGGTCACCTGGTCCGCACAGGAGGAACTTCCGCCCAAGCCCTGTCTCCAGTGCCACAGCTCCCCTCACCCGGGCTCTTGGGGCAGAGAGGGGAGGGGACCAGAGTAGACAGCAGACAACTTCCACGGGGCCTCGTCTCTGCATTTCTTCCTCTCCCACTCTTTTTAAAAACAAATCTTATTGATTTTTTTACAGAGAGGAAGGGAGAGGGATAGAGAGTTACAAATATCGGTCAGCTGCCTCCTGCACACTCCCCACTGGGGATGTGTCTGCAACCAAGGTACATGCCCCTGACCGGAATCGAACCTGGGACCCTTGAGTCCACAGACAAAGCTCTATCCACTGAGCCAAACCGGTTAGGGCCCTCCCCTGCTCTTGCGTGGAGACAGTGGCACCCGACTCCACAATAAGGTTCGTTGTTAATCTCATGATAAGTCCCTGAATCAGGGGGCACCTCTCCCCAACTCCAGGGTTTTCCAGGGGTTCCTCCGTCACGGCTCCTCTGCCTGAATCTTCTGCTTAGCAAAGGAGCAAGAGCCCCTTCCCTCCCCCTGCACAGTGTCAATCCCTAACCGCTCAGTCCCCACCCTCCATGGGTGTGCGTTTCAGGGAACGGGTTTGGCTCAGCCCTTCCTCACGGCCTCACAGTGCCAGGTCTGTGAAGCGATCTCATCTCTCCTCCAGCAGGGCTGGACCTCACAAACTAGTTCAGACTTTTGGTTTCCAAGGTGCTCCAGAATAGGACACCTACTATTGTGGCTCACCCACCCATTCTTACACAACTACTTTGGGAAGTTCTACTTCAGGTCTGACCTCACGCCCTGGTGCTGCAGTGCCATCCGTTCTCCTCTCTAGAAAAGACCAGGCAGAAGAGTGCAAAAAGAAACGCTGAGGACGGAGGGCCAGGGGAGAATAAAAGAGTGCATTCTCCTTCAACTTCCCCAGACTCTCTCTAGAAGTACCCAAGTGCCCCCAATCCCTGCCTTAAAAACGTATTTCCACTTGCACCAAATGTCCAGCGTCACAGGAACTACATTAATGAGTTTTCAGTGCGGAAGAGGTGGGTGGGAGGATGGTGGAGGGTCACCAAACGATCGCCTCCTGAAGGAAGCCTGGGTCCCAGTCAATCGCCTCCCTCCCTCCTTCTGTGGCACCCAGAGCTCAAGACTCACCGAACACTGCCCAGCCACATCATGCCTTTAAGACGGACTCTGCCTCCCCCATCCACCCCCATCTCTCCTCCCCCTCCACCCCTCATCCTCCTCACCTCCTCACCCCAAAGCCCTCCAGGCTCCCCTCCAATAAAGGCCAAGCACTAACTCACCTCCCAGCCGGTGCCTCTCAGATCTCCGAGACTGGGGGCTTGGCGGTTGGGGAGGAGGGGGGGTGATGGCTTGCCGCTTGGGGACGAGGGGACCCCGCCTTTGGCCTGGAGGTCCCCCACTCCAGCCCGGCGCCCCATCCTGGCCCCCACGGCGCGCGGGGCCGGGTGCTCCCCGCATCGCAGCGGCGGGCTTTGTCTGCTCTGCGGAGGGAGAGCCTCTCCCGCGGCCCCGAGCCGGATCCGCTCCGCCCGGGCGGGAGGGGGCGGGGAGGGAGCCGCAGGGAGGAGGAGGGGAGCGGGGAGAGGGGAGAGGGAGCCGCAGCGACCCAGCCGGGACCGCTCCCCGCCCTCCTGCCCCCCCTCATTTCCATGAGAAAGAGGGACCTGAGACCTGCCGGGACCGCGTGGGAGCCAGCCTGAGGGGGCGGGGGGGGGGGGAGGGCGCTCCATGAGCCTTTTTTCCAACCCTTCCGCTTCTGTACCCCGACTCCTCTCCCCTTTGCCCGCGAAAAAATTAGGGACCTCGACTCTTAGCCCACCCCCAGCTCGGGCCCCGAGCCGCGCGGGTAAGGACCTGAGGGCACAGCCCGAACCTCCCCGGGTCCAGGAATGCGCCCCCGCGCCCGCGCGCCCCCGCGGCCGGGGAACTACAACTCCCGGCATGCCCCCCGCGCCCCCGGCGCGCCCCCCGCCCGTCAGTTCCATGCTGCTCCATCCAGTTCATTTAAAACAAAAGAGTTTGAGCGCTGGATGGGGCTGGTCTCTATTGGGGGCCCCTGAGTGCGACTCCCAGGCCGGGGCTGGGTGCGGGAGCCTGAGGGGGGCGTCCGGACGGCGGGGTCCGGAGGCTCCGGGCCCGAGGAGGGAGGGAGGGGAGGGGAGGGGGCAGAGATCCCGCAGCCCCCGGTCCCCCGTCACCCCCGGAGAGGAGAGGAGAGATCTGCTTTCTGGGTTTTGTTTCTCTTTCCCCCCACCCCCACCCCCACCCCGGGGGCTGGGGCGAGGGGAGTCGGGTTACAGGGTGTTTGGGGAGGGGGGCTTAGGGGGAGGGTCTATCTCTCTATCTCGCCGTCTCTCCCCCTCCCCAGTTCTTTGTTCCCCCCTCCCCGCGCACCCCCTCCTCCCCTCTCCCCTCCCCTCCGCTCTCCTCTTCTCCCTTCCACCACCTCTCTCTCCCTCTCTCTCTCTCTCTCTCCCCCAGCTTTTGTTTCGCCATGCCTAGTCTAGTGGTATCTGGAATAATGGAAAGAAATGGGGGCTTTGGGGAACTGGGATGTTTCGGGGGAAGCGCCAAGGACCGAGGGCTGCTGGAAGACGAGCGCGCCCTTCAGCTGGCTCTCGACCAACTCTGCCTCCTGGGTTTGGGGGAGCCCCCCGCCCCCACGGCGGGCGAGGACGGGGGAGGTGGGGGGGGCGGCGCCCCTGCCCCGCCGGCCGCTCCCCCGCAGCCGGCCCCGCCGCCGCCGCCCGCGGCGCCCCCGGCCGCCCCGACGGCGGCCCCCGCGGCGCAGACGCCCCAGCCCCCCGCCGCCCCCAAAGGGGCCGGCGACGCCAAGCTCTGCGCCCTCTACAAAGAGGCCGAGCTGCGCCTCAAGGGCAGCAGCAACACCACCGAGTGCGTCCCCGTGCCCACCTCCGAGCACGTGGCCGAGATCGTGGGCCGGCAAGGTAAGAGGGCGCCCGGACCGCGGAGCTGGGTGGCGGGGGGTGGGGGGGCGCCCCATCCCTGGCGCGGAAAGTTCATTTCCTCTCTCGTCCACCCACCCATGGCTCGGTCCCTTCTCCACAAAGGGGGGCCCCCTCCTCACACCCCGATTTCCCGGCGCCACAAAGTTCCCTGGTACCCCCAGCCGGACGGTTCTCCAGCTCCGTCCTCCCCCAGGGCCCGGCCCTCAGACAAAGAAATATCCTCTCTTAAGAGAGAGGGAAAAGGGAGGGGACGGGCTTCCCCATCTGGAGAGAGCCTGTCTGTCCGGAGGGGGTGTCCCCTCCGAGCCAGGAAAACTGGCCGAACGTGCAGAGAGTTCCTCGGGAGCCCCTGCCCTGGCATCTGCTAGCGGATTGGGGAGGGGGCACCCCTGAGACTGCCCCCAGCTGCCTGGAGTTGCGCACTTTAGGGGAGACCTGGCCTGGGGAGCCAGTCTGAGGATCTGTCTCTTTGTTGGGCTAAGTGTAGGAATGGAAGGGGGTGTGGCTCCTGGGAGGGTCCCAGCCCGGGGGGAGCGGTGGGAAGGGGGGCTCCTGGGAGGAGGGAGGCCTATGGTCACCCACACACCAAAGTTGAGCAGTCTGTGGGGTTCTGGAAGGGGCGCCCCCAAGGAAGTGCCACATCCTGGTGTGGCCCTCGCCTCCTCCCTCTCAGGCTTTTGTTCTGGGCCAGCCTAGGCCGGGGGCCCGAGGCCTGCATGGGGGTCTCCGCTGTGCGGGAGCAGGACAGGGGGGTGGGGGCCACAGTTGGGGGGAGGGGTGCGGACGCTTCACCTGGAGACGGGGTGCAGGGCGTGTGTCTGGGCGCGTTGGGGGAGGGATGTAGAATTCATACGGTGCAGGCAGTCTGATACCACACCCTCCTCCACTCCAGCATCCCTGCGCGGGTGGGGGTCGCAGTGTTGATGACTGTCCAGATTGAGCAGAGGAGAGGGATCTCGGGGACCCTTCCCTCTCCTAGTTCCCCAAAGGGGAGTTGTGAGGGGCGGGGGGGGGGGGGTTTGGAAATGGCAAGGCCCGGCTGGGGAGGTGGGGGTGGGGAAGGAGCAGGGGAGGAGCTGTCCCACAGTAGGGAACAATAGAGGAGCTGCATTCCGGCTGGGGAGTGAGGGAGGGAGGGAGGAGGCCGGCTGCTGGCAGGGGAAGAGGGGAGGCGAAGCCAGGGGGCCCCGCTCTTCGGCCCACCTCATCCCCCTGGAGTGCCGGGGATTGGTGGGATTTTTGCTGGGAGATCCGGAATGGAGGAGGGGACGGTGCCACTGGCCTGCACAGCCCTCGCTCCCACCCGCCCCTCTCCATCTCCCGAGGTTTCTGGTTTGAAAAGTTGGATTTCCTCTCCATCAGAAACTAGGGACCCACGGCCCTGGAATCGGGTGGGGACCCTAATATCTTTCTTGTTGGGAGGGTGGTCTTGGGAGGCCGCAGAATTTCATGGAGTCATTTTTTTCTTTCCTCTTCGGCCTCCGCATCAGATGGAGCTGTCTCTCAAAAAAGTAGGGAGGGGGTTTCTCTCTTCCCCCTCATCCCTTAAGTATAGGGAAGTCCTCCCTCTTGTCTAACCTCCCTTCTCCCGCTGCAGTGTGGGTGCCCCTGTATTTAACCTCCGGGAAGGCGAAGCCCAGGGGGTCTTCCCTCCAAGAGGGGCTTCTTTAGGCCTGCAAAGCCTGGGGTCCGTTCCCCCACCAGCTCTGCACCTCCGGCCGGCCGGCCCGCTAGCTTTTGTACTGAGAGTTCTCTGCCCCGGCCTGTCTTCCTCACCCCACCCCAACCCCAAAGGCATTTAGCTCGCTTAAGTTTATGGACCCAAAAGTTAGAGCCAAAACCCAGGTGCCTAGCAGACACCATGCGGGTAGACACTGGGTGGGAGGGAACGCCACTCACACACGCCGGCCTTAAGAACAGTCCTTCGCCGGCATTAAAGCAGCGGGGATGCGAGCTTGACAACAGGTAGGACTTCTCCGTATCCAAGAAGTCCGAGGACAAAAGGCAGGGCCACTTCTCCTGTCTACGGTCTCTTCACAGTAAGGAGGGCTGCCCCAATCCATTCTGCCCTCCCCTACACCATATGGAGTGGAGGAAGGAGACTGATAACAACAACAACAACAACAACAATAATAATAATAATAATAATAATGATAAGCTCTCCTCGGGCCTGTGGACGCAGAGTTGGGGCAGAGTCAGAACACTGGAACTGCTAGTGGTTTGGGGGAGAGGTGGTGTGTGTGTGTGGGGGGGATGTGGGTCTGTAGGAAGTATATACCTGAGGGGGGTGGGAATGTATCTGTGTGAAAGCTGTGGGCGTGCATAGGAATGTGCTGTTTGTGAGCTGGGGGTGATGGGGATGGCGGAGAGGCTGGGACAGGGAATCCCGGGGAGTGTGAGAGGTGTGTGTGAAAGTGTTTGGAGGAAGGCACACGGTACCTCACGGCGCTCGGGCCCCTGCGTGTGCAGACTCACACATGGGGCGTGTGTGCTTCAAGAACGGATGTGAGTCTCTGCGAAGCCGGGGGCAGAGAGAGGGAACTCGGGAGGGGAGAGAGCTGCTTGGCCAGGCAGCCATTGAGGTGGTGTTGCCGGCCCACCCTCACTCACTCTCCTCTTTCTCCCTCTTTGTTTCTTTGTCTCCGATTTCTTCTTTCTTTTCCTGCCCTCTCCCCGCTGTAACCCACTCCTGCTTCGCAGTGGGAATAAGGGTCCAGAACACCTCTCCCTCATTCTAATCAGCCCCCGGCCCGTCCCAGCTCTCCTGCTCCCGGGGGTCAGGGTGGCAGGAGTGACTGTGGGGCTCAGTCCTGTCCCTTTCACACCATCTTTACCTTCATATTCCTCTCGTCCCTCCTGAAACGGATTCTCAGGTCCTTCCTTGTCTCCCACACTCCACCAGTTGCTGCAAACGTGCTGTGAATTGGAGACACTGAGAGACACAAATGGGTGGATGGGGGGGTGCCTCAGAGAACAGATGGGGGTCCGTGGTCCCTGAGTAGGTTGGAGGACACTTTTAAGGAATGGAGGCCTGGTGATGAGTAGATTGTGGGGTTCCCGCGTGCATTTGGAGTTCCGTGGAAAGATCCGAGTTGGTGGCAGATTGGGGGGCGGTGGAGGGGAGAAAGGCAGCGTGATAGATGGAGTGATTTGGATTGGGGAGCAGCCAGGAGTCAGTAGAGAAGTTGAGAGAACAGCTTATGGTTGGGGGGGATTAGTACTCAGATTTGAGGTGAGCAGCTTTCTGGGAGGGTTAGTTCCGGCAGGGGTCTTCAAACTACTGCCCGCGGGCCACATGCGGCCCGCAGAGGAGTCTGATCCGGCCCGCCAAGGTTTTGGGGCAATGGGCGCAGCCGAGGTGTTACAGTAGGGGTGTCGAACTCAATCAGAGAAGGGGCCAAAATCTAAAATCCAGCCTAAATCGCGGGCCGAATGGTTTACTGAACAGTCATAAACTGTCATTGTGATGGAAACGCAGCGGAGTGCAGTGATGACAGCGCAGTGCGGGCCACATTGCAAGGCCTGGCGGGACGGATTTGCCCCGCGGGCCTTGTGTTTGACACATGTGCAGTAGGAATTAGTAGTTCATATAGTCCGGCCCTCCAGCTCTCTGAGGGACCGTGATCTGGCCCCCACTTTAAAAAGTTTGAGGACCCCTGGTTCAGGGTTTCCAGGAGGACATGAATTGGAAGGCCCTGAATGGGATTCAAGGGAAAGTTGTTAACATTTTGAAAAACGTGGTTGATAGCCGAGACCGGTTTGGCTCAATGGATAGAGCGTCGGCTTGGGGACTGAAGGGTCCCGGGTTCGATTCCGGTCAAGGGCTGATCGATGACTCTCTCTCATCGATGTTTCTAACTATCTCCCTTCCTCTCTGTACAAAATCAATAATATATATATTTTTGGAAAAAGAAAAAGAAAACGTGGTTGATAGAGACCTTTGGGTAAATCTGAAATGAGTGGATTATTCAAATCAAGGTGGTTTTGTGTGTGTGTGTGTGTGTGTTTTGGGGGGAGTCCTAGGATAGATTGAGAGGTTCCTGGGGGCGGGTTTCTGCCTAAGGATCAGGAGCTCATTAGCCCTGCACAGACCTTGTCCAGTGAGTGTCTCTCTCTCTCTCCCCCCCTCCGCCTGCCCCCAGGCTGCAAGATCAAGGCCCTGAGGGCCAAGACCAACACCTACATCAAGACCCCGGTGCGGGGCGAGGAGCCGGTGTTCATGGTGACCGGGCGGCGGGAGGACGTGGCCACGGCCCGCCGGGAGATCATCTCGGCGGCGGAGCACTTCTCCATGATCCGGGCCTCGCGCAACAAGTCCGGGGCGGCCTTCGGCGTGGCGCCCGCGCTGCCGGGCCAGGTGACCATCCGCGTGCGCGTGCCCTACCGCGTGGTGGGGCTGGTGGTGGGGCCCAAGGGCGCCACCATCAAGCGCATCCAGCAGCAGACCAACACCTACATCATCACGCCGAGCCGCGACCGCGACCCCGTGTTCGAGATCACGGGCGCCCCGGGCAGCGTGGAGCGCGCGCGCGAGGAGATCGAGACGCACATCGCGGTGCGCACCGGCAAGATCCTCGAGTACAACAGCGACAGCGACTTCCTGGCGGCGGGCAGCCCGCCCGACCCCGCCGCCGCCGCCGCCGCCGCGCTGGACGGCCGCTACGCCGAGGCCTGGCGCGTGCCGCCGGCCGCCTGCAAGCCGCTGTCCGCCTTCCGCCAGAACAGCCTGGGCTGCATCGGCGACTGCGCCGCCGCCGTGGACTCGGGCTTCGAGGCCCCGCGCCTGGGCGAGCCGGGCGGCGGCGGGGACTTCGGCTACGGCGGCGGCGGCGGCGGCGGCTACCTGTTCCCGGGCTACGGCGGCGGCGGCAAGCAGGACGTGTACTACGGGGTGGCGGCCGAGACCAGCCCCCCGCTGTGGGCAGGCCAGGAGAACGCCACGCCCGCCTCGGTGCTCTTCTCCTCGGCCTCCTCCTCCTCCTCCTCTGCCAAGACGCGCGCCGGGGCCGGGGCGGGGCCCCCCGGGGTGCACCGCTCCCCGGCCGCCTCCGCCTCGGAGCTGGCGGCGGGACTGCCCCGACGCCCGCCCGGGGAGCCGCTGCAGGGCTTCTCCAAACTCGGGGGCGCGGGCCTGCGCAGCCCCGGCGGCGGCGGCGGGCGCGACTGCATGGTGTGCTTCGAGAGCGAGGTGACCGCCGCGCTCGTGCCCTGCGGACACAACCTGTTCTGCATGGAGTGCGCCGTGCGCATCTGCGAGAGGACGGACCCCGAGTGTCCCGTCTGCCACATCACAGCCACGCAAGCCATCCGGATCTTCTCCTAAGCTCCCCCGGCCTCTCCCCTGCCCCGGGGGCCGGTTTCCGCCAGAGCCTTTGGGAAACCGGCACTGTGAGGGGGCGAGGTGATGGGAGATGCTGGCTGGGGAGCTGGGGAGCGGGGAGGGGGAAGGTGGTGGCTGGAGGGTGGGCCACTCTGAGACCCTCTGGCCGCCCGATCCTGGAAAGGCTGGGAGGGGGCCAGGTTGGAAGTTTTACTAGAGTTACAACTCTGATACCTCAACACACCCTTCAATCTGAAAGCAGCTAAGAGGAACTTTTGTTTTGTCCGCGGCGGCGGCAGCTAAGGCCCCCTGACCCCCTTTGTCCGCCTCCCCGGAGCGTGTCATACTACCCCTTCCTCATGGAGGGGAGGGGAAGGGAGAGGGAGACTACCATCTGTATGGAGGGGCTCTCTCCCATCCCCAGGTCCTCTGGTCCTGACCTCTGACCTCCTGGCGTGACTCTTTGGACCCTCCACTGCCATATCCTGTTTGGGAATCTGTGCCTGGGTTTCCCAGATGGGAGGGGGCCGGGGCCCTTTCAGAGCCTGCCCAGGCTGCAGGGCGTGGGGAAGATGCCAACTAGTGAGGGCTCGGCCCTGTCTGTCTCCACAAAGCTGGGCTAGAGGAATGTGGATGGGGCACCCGCCGCCCCTTTTCCCTCCCCTCTCCTCCCGTTACTCCTCCCTCTGGGTTCCCCCTTCTCTCCTGCTCCCTCCCCGGCTCCTCTCTTTACTCCCACCCTGTCTTTCTGTCTCTCCCCTTCTCCCCCCTCCCTTCTGCCCCTTCTAGCGCAGCTTTGGGGATACCATCCCCTCGGGGAGAAGCTGGGGGGAAGGACATTGTGGTGGTTCCCCCTCATTTCTCTCTTGGCATCTGGAGGCCCTTTCCCCCACTCCTCCAAAGATGCGCCTCATGCGTGATGGAATGTATCCCCGTTCTCAGTGGAAATGTGAGGAGGGGACTAATCCTGGGGTACGCGAAGGGCCAGCCCTCCCCACCTTCACCCTCGTTGGGCATTACATGTAGGGGGGCAGTTCCCAGACCGGATTTCATGGCAGTGGTAGGAGGAGAGCCAGGGAGCGGGCCGTTGTTTCAGGGAGCAGTACCCCACTCCCTGCGGGGGCCCCTCGACCTCCCACCAACCCTTGTGAGTGAGCGAATCCTGACGTGTGTCCCGCCCGCTGTGGTTGAGAAGAGAGGGGGTCCGCTCCGGGGCTGAGCAGGATCGGGGTGCGGCTGTCCTGAATCATGTTACAGGCCTTACACCCCCTTCGCTGCTTCCCCGCTGCTCACGTGGGGCTGCCACCAGCCCCCCACCCTCCTAGTTCCGCTGGCGGGCCAGGAGAGGACGGGGGACTGGAGTCCCTGGGGTCCCGGGAAATTCTTGTATATAGTGAGGTGGGACTATTGTAAGTGATCTCTGAGCACGAAAGCGCCGGAGTCCCATTCCTGGATGGAGAGAGGGTGCAGGAATGGGGGTACCGAGGGGATTTCCTTCCTCCCGTTGTGAATTCACTCTCCTCAGCCTTCCCCTGCGCCACCAGCCAGGGAGGGCAGAGGAAGGAGGTCACAGCCGGGAACCCTGGCTCCCCTCCTTCCCGCCAATGTGAGCCATCCTGAGACGTCTGTACAATAGAACCAAACCAAATGGGTTGCCCAGGGGAGGTGGGGGGCTGGGGCAGAGAAGGGGTGTCTGTCTGTGGATTCCCCTCCCCCTCGCCACTCCTTTACCCACAAAGGCAGAAGACTGTTACGTTAGGGGGCTCGGAAAGTTCCATCCCACCCTTACTTCATTGAGCCAAACCTAGAAACAAGCGCAGAACACAACATAGTGAGAGACAAAATAGAGGTGAGAAAGCGAGCGTGAGAGGGAGCGAGATAGAGGCGACCAACAGAGAAAACGAAAAGAGCAAAAAAAAAACAAAACAAAAAAAAGCAGTTCTTTATAATTTAATATTCTATTTTAATAAAGGCGTTTATTACCGTATAAATGTAGCAAAGAACCTGGGCTAATATGAAAAAAAAAAGACTTTTTATTAGGTAATTTATTATATGAAAAGGATATTTTATTTTATGATAAAGTGATCCTTAAAAAATAAAAAAAACTTTAGAAGGTTTAGAATATATGTAGGGAGAGAAGAAAAAAAAAATACATTTGTATTCAGAGTTAAATCTTAAAAGAAAAAAAAAGTGTTTTTAATATATGTTCAGGTTTACGTTCCTTTTTCCCCCCCGCTTTTCTTTGGGGAGGAATGTCACTTGCTTAGGGGGGGAGGAGCATCCTGGGACGGATGGTGGCTGAGGGAACCCCGTCCCTCCGGGCCCTGCAAGTGGATTGGGTTTCCTTCCATGGGCTCCTTCTCCTCTCCCCTCCCCCTCTGGGGAGCTGGCAGAGCCAAACAAAGAAAGGAATTAACAAGAAAGGAGGAAGCTGGAGGATTGAGGATCCTGGGTGCTCCCCTGCCCCTGCCTCCGGGGCGAGTGAGGAGGGGGAAGTCCAGAACGAGGCCTCGCAGGCCCACGGGACCCTCAGAGAGGTGTGAGATTTAAGAGACATAGTTTTTTGTTTTTAACCAAAAAAAAAAAAAAAGAGAGAGAAGAAACTGAGGGGTTTAAAAAAGAAAATACTACAAAATAATAATTATTAATAATAATTCAAATTTATTTCATATAATCCTAGAGAAAGAAAAAAGAGAATTACTAGTTACTTAGTAGACTATTCAGATAGCTTAAAAGTTTAGTAGCGTTGCGGGCCCCTGGGCCCAGTAGAATGTATAAAAGTCGTTAACAAGAGGGAAATAGAGGAGGGAAGCGGCCGAGTCCCCCGTCGTCAGTGATCAGGGTGGAAGCAAATTGCTAGTGAAGGCTGGGAGCATCTAGTAGGCTGGGGCTGATTCTGAGAATCCTTGGGCTTTTAACTTGTAGGACAGACTGAGGAGGGGCTCCGTTCCCAGGGTCTTTAAAGGGATGGATGTTGACCATTTCGGCCAGGTGGGGGCAGCAGAGGGGTGAGCCTGCACCCTGGTTCTGCATCCCAGCACCGGGAGGCCTACCATCTGGGCTTTCCTCTGTCTCTTTGGGTAGCCCTTACTCCCAAGTGATGATGTCCACTCTCGGCACTCCGTGAGGTCCCGAGGCCTCACTGAGCAAGTCCTTGAAGTGTAACCTCCAGGGCTGCAGATTGGTTCAGGAGCCTGGGAGGCCATTCCCCACACATGCACACTCCCCACCGCAGCTTCGGGAGACTGGATCCCCCCTGCTCCTGCCCCATCGTCCACGTGGCTTTCGGCAGCAGAGGAGTCGGTCTCACCCCTTCTCCTTTAAGCTGCACCGTGCTCTACAGGTTTGCACCGTGCTTTATTATCTCCTGGAAGTTCCATTCCAAGGACTTTTCCACCCACTGGGGAAAGGGGCTCCCAAGCGGACAGAGGCAGGGGGTGGGGAGCAGAGACATTCCCTGACCCTGACCCTCTGCTCCATGCACTTCCATCTGTCGGAGTTCAGGCAGGGATCATCCACTGTGAGGGCACATGGCCCTCCCCGTTGAAAATCGGGGGGCGTGACTGTTGCATATGAGGAATCGGTTTTTTAAGCACTTGCCTTTACCTAACCCTGCTTGCAGTCAGGCCATCTAGGGGGTGTGGAGGGAGGTCCCTGGCTCTTGGTCCCCATCACACCAATGACTGTCATGCCCTAGACCCCAAACACATCTCCCTCTCCCCAGTTTATTCTTCGCGCCCCCACCCAGGGACAGATCACCCCCTGCTCTCTTTGTCCTAGGAACCCCATAGTTTGGGAAGGTAGTGTCTGGGGTGGGGAAGGCGGCCCCTTCTCCGCCCAAGGGTGCGGGTCGGGTCGGGTGGGTAGGTGGAGACAGCCCTGGGGCAGGGAGGACGGTCTCTCCACTGTAGAAAGTAGAGTAGGATTGTGGTCAGACTTAACTTGAGGCATCTAGTGAGGACGCATACAAATCCACCGAGAATAAAAAAAACAAAACCGTTCAAAAGCAAAATTAACAGGCGGGAAACAAAACGGACCCACGAATAATTGAGTCAAAGTTGATGTTGCACAAAATGCAGAGAAACCAAGAAGGGGGAGGGTTAATGTATTAAATGTGCTATTAAGAAGTTAATTTTATTAAAAGTATTATTACTTAAGGCTCTGGCTTCTTTCTCTGCGTGTGGATCTGAACCACCGGGGGGGCGGGGGGCCACTGTGGAAATTGTAGCTGGGAGTTCTCTCTCTGGCGTAATTCTGGGCGCCCCTCCCTGCTCACCTCTGGGAGGTGGGTGGCTCCTGTCTGCTCTCCACAGCTCCCAACGCTCCAAACGCTCAATCCCCTTTTCCACCCGTTCTACCCCTTCTTTTCCTTGGGGATGCCATCAGACCTCCATCCACTCTGAAGACTAGAGACAGACCCTCCCCACCAGATGCAATCTGTCCCTACGCCCAACCCTTCTTTGGGGTGAGGTAGAAATCCAGATCGAGATGGACCTTCCACCTCCCCGTCTTAAAGCCCTTCCCCGGCACACAGGAACAGGCTGGCCCCAACTCCCCCTCCTCCCCCACATCTCCCCTGCCTCTGCCCTCACCCTGGCATTGGAGTGACCTCAGTTCTTGGCACCAGGGCCCTGGGCACCAGATGGCACCTGCCGACGGTCTCCTTTGTCTTGCTTTCCAGATACCCCCTCCCCATCAAGCTGTCCTCTCGCCGCCTCCTACTCTGGGGGTTGGCAGCGGGAAGGGTGGGCGTCTCTCGCCCCCTTGGCACTGTCCCCAGACCATAGGACTTCGGGGGCAACGGGGAGGATGGAGCCCGGGGAAGGGAAGGGGAACAGGGATTCGGAGGAGGAGCGAGTGGCAGGGGAGCACAGATGGAGGCAGCAGGATGGCCGGCGTGGATATAAAACGGCTTTATTTGGGAGCTCTGGTCTGTGAGGTTAGCAGACAGTACAGGGGTGGGGGGGCGTGAAGACCTGAGAGCTCGGCGGGGCTGTGCACAGGGAACAGGCCACTGACGTCTGGAGCCACAGGGCCGGGAGAATCCTGGAGCGGGGTGGGGAGCACCTCACCGGGACGCGAGCGAGCGAGGGCAGGGCTGGTGCTGGCCAAGGTCAGAGGCTGATGCAACAGGCCCTCTTCCCACCGGGGCCCGGCTCCTGGCCGGCCTGGGCACTGCCCAGGGTGATGGCATTGGTCCGGGTGCTGTTCTGCCTCTGCTTGGACACTTTTGCGAAAATCTCTGAGAGGGGAGAGGGGGGCGGTCAGTTCAGAAGCCCACACTCCCTGTGCTCGCACCACGTGCCCCTGTCTGAGGGGTGGTCGCCCTTAAGGGAGGTTTTGCTGAAAGGAAGTGGAGTTCCTGTCCTTCTACTTACCTGCATGGGGAAGGACCAGGATTCTGCTCCCGGTTCCTGCCCTAGCTCCAGGCAGCACTAGGGAATGTCTGAGGGGCAGGGGGAGGCTCTGAGGAGGCTGGGGACCCACAGGGGTGCTGAGGAACCAGCTGGGGTGGAGAGGGCTGGGTGTCTGCGTTCCTACCACTGCCTGTGGAAGCCCCGGGATTGGAATGGGGTGTCAAATGGAGGCGGGGACTCTAACCTTTCAGGACAGTTTCAAAGGCCAGCTCCACGTTCGTGGAATCCAAGGCTGAGGTCTCCAGGAATAGCAGCCCATTGTTTTCTGATAGGAAAGGAAACATGCCATTAATTGTGGGGTCAAAGGCAATAGGAACAATATTTATTGAATGCTTACTGTGTGCCAAACCCTTGGCATGGGTAGCTCATTTAATTGTGTTTTTTTTTTATTAATATGTTTTTATTGATTTCAGAGAGAGGAAGGGAGAGGGAGAATGGGGCAGAAACATCAATGATGAGAGAGAGTCATTGACTGGCTACCTCCTGCATGCCCCCGACTGGGGATTGAGTCTGCAACCTGGGCATGTGCCTGACATGGAATCTAACCATTACCTCCTGGTTTGGTTCAGTGGATAGAGCATTGGCCTGTGGAATGAGGGGTCCCAGATTCAATTCTGGCCGAGGGCGCATGCCCAGGGTTGAGGGCTTGGTCCCGAGTGGGGCGTGTGCAGGAGGCAGCCAATCAATGGTTCTCTCTTATCATTGATGTTTCGATCTCTCCCTCTCCCTTCCTCTCTGAAATCAATAAAAATATAATACAGCTGAAACCGGTTTGGCTCAGTAGTAGAGCGTCGGTCTGCAGACTGAAGGGTCCCAGGTTCGATTCTGGTCAAGGGCATGTACATTGGTTGCAGGCACATCCCCAGTGGGGGGGGTGCAGGAGGCGGCTGGTCGATGTTTCTCTATCATCGACGTTTCTAGCTCTCTATCTCTTTCCCTTCCTCTCTGTAAAAAATCAATAAAATATATTTAAAAAACATATATATATAATACAAAAAAAAATCAAAAGAAACATCAATGATGAGAGAGAATCATTGATTGGCTGCCTCCTGTGTGCTCCCCTACTGGGGATTTCATCCGCAAACTTGACTGGAATCGAACCCAAGACCCTTCAGTCTGCAGGTCAACACTCTATCCACTGAGCAAAACCAGCTAGGGCTGAGTGGTACAAATTAAAGTTGCATTGGACTGAGGAGTGAAAGCAGGAGGTTCAGACTTCTATTCCAAGATGACAGGAGAAAATATTACAAGAATACAGATTGCTCACATTTGTGGGTTAGGACACAGTCCTATCTGAGGGAGAATTTGAAGACTCGCAGAGGAAGTAAGTGATGAAATAAGGTCCTGGAGCAAGAGGGGGAGATGGGGAGATGAATAGAAACAAAAAAATGTGTTTCCTTTGCAGGAATTTTTTGTTTACCAACCTCAGTCATGTATAATAATTTCTGTGTCTATGCTTAGATAGGGCCTAACATCCGGGCTAACTTTAATAACCCCATCCTTAAAGAACATACAGTAGAACCTCGTTTCTCGGGCTTAATTCATTCTGGAAGAAGACCAAATCATTCTTTCCCATTAGAAATAGTGTAAATTGAATTAATCCATTCCAGACTCCCAAATGATTCCCTGATTTAACCTTTTTTTTTTTTTTTTTTTAATGTACAGGACATGTCTATTGTCCTGTTTAACCTACAAACACACACTTTAAGAACAAAAAGGACATGAAATGTAAATGAACATTAGCAAAAAGGAAAGGAAATGTACAATACAAAATGAAAATTTAACAATAATCATAAGCAGCAAAAAAAAACACAAAAATATTCACAGCACAATAGCCTGAGATTTTAACAATGGTAAACGGACTCGTATGCTGCATTCTCTCTGTTTGTCACCTGAGAAATGTGTGACTGATCATACAGGTATCAGCATGAAAGGGCTGTCAGGTTGAGAAGCGAATTGTTCAAGATGGGAGACGGTCAAGAAACGAGGTTCCACTGTAATCTCAGTGTGATGTATTCCGGTTCCAGTAAGGGATTAACATGTCACCCATGAAGGACAGCTCAAGGACACATTTCAAGAAAAACCATCTCAGTATTCCAGGAGAAATCAGAGATCCTAAGGTAAGTTCCTGAGAGGTCATCCGGTTCTATCCTTCGGATGATAAAAGAAACAACTAAAACCAGAGAGGTGATGTCCAAATTGACGTGGCTCTGTGGTGGCAGAGTCTCCACCTCAATGACCATAATCTAGGTTCCATGATCTTGTGGGGATTCAGAACGAGTCACCCTAAGACATGCCTTGTGGTATTTGAATTAGGGGCCTTGCCCATAATAAAAGATTGTCAAAGATAACCTGTTCCCCTAACTGGTTTGGTTGAGTGGATAGAGTATCGGCCTGCAGCCTGAATACTCCTGGGTTCGATTCTGGTCAAGGGCATGTACCTTGGTTGCGGATTCATCCCCAGTGGGGAGGGTGTGCAGGAAGCAGATGGATATTTCTCTCTCATCATTGTTTCTCTCTATCCCTCTCCCTTCCTCTCTATTAAAAATAAATAAATAAATAAATAAAATATATATTTTAAAAAAATAAACATAAAAAAAGATAAGTCTTTTGCCCTAGCTCTAGGGCAGAACAAACTTCTATTTACTAGGCATCTGCTCTCCTTATCCTGCAATGACCCTCTGAAGCCCTCAATGTGCGTTTCCTCATCCCTCGCTCAGAACGTCTTACATACCTCAGGCCCCTTTCTAGCTACGAACTGCCTGGGTCTCCGGCTGCCTCCCTCTCGCTCAGCCACAATCCCCACTGGTTTTTACAGCCCAACGTTGCGGGGACTTCTCTTCCCGACAATGGAATTCTGGGCGGTCGGACAAGTCCTTTTAGCACCTGCACCCCTCCTACAATCTCTGTGATTTCTTCTTTACTTCTCTAGTTGTAGAGCTTCCATTCAGCCAGCTTTCAGGCAGTTCCGAATGATGGCTGTTCTGTATTTTAGTTGTAGTTTTTTAAAAAATATATTCTATTGATTTTTTACAGAGAGGAAGGGATAGGGATAGAGAGTCAAAAACATCGATGAGAAACATCCATCAGCCTCCTCTTGTACACCCCCTACTCAAGGACACATCTCAGGCCCAGCAATCAAGGCATATGGCCCTGACAGGAATCGAACCTGGGACCCTTTAGTCCGCAGGCCGACGCTCTATCCACTGAGCCAAACCGGCTTCGGCCTAGTTGTAATTCTGATGTGGTTGTGGAAGGATGCAAGTACTGGTTTTACCTGCACAGCCATCTTGGTTCCTCCTTGAATCCCATCCCCTTTTACAGAAGAGGACGCTGGGCCCAGAAGCACAGAGGGAGTGTGAGAGAGCTTGCTCAGTGTCCCATGTGTAGTGACTGGCCCAGAGATGGCAGGCTGGGCTGTTGGGACTCCTGAGCCTACACACTGAACCACCGTGTCTTACTGCCTGGGAACCCCAGAGAACACCCGGGGAGAGTGTGGCTGGAGATAGTCCAGGGGAGGCCACCTGCCACACTTAGGATCTCTGAGCACGGCAAGGTGGGTGGTCTCAAAATCAACGACAGCCCGGCCAGTGCTCAGTGGTTGAGCGTCAGCCTATGAATCAGGAGGTCACAGTTTCAGTACCGGTCAGGGCAGGGGGGTGTTTGTGCAGTGTGGGGCGTGCAGGAGGCAGCTGGTCAATGATTCTCTCTCATCATGGATGTTTCTATCTTTCTCTTTCTCTCCTTTCCTGTCTGAAATCAATAAAAATATATTTAATAAATAAATAAATAAATAAATAAAACCAACTATAAATAACTACCCTTAAAAACGATCTCAAGGCAGGTGGTGGGACATCAAGGGTCACCGAGGGGAAGGGCAGACCCTGAAGAAGAGGGGATGAAGGTAGGAGGCCCAGGTGGGGGGAGGTTAGCCCAGGTCTTGGCAGGCTCTTACCGGCGAACATGCGGGCCTCGTCACTTGGCACCTCGCGGGCCTGGGTGAGGTCACTCTTGTTGCCCACGAGCATGACGACGATGGTGGCCTCGGCGTGGTCGTAGAGTTCCTTCAGCCAGCGCTCCACCACGGCGTAGGTGTGCTGCTTGGTGAGGTCAAACACCAGCAGGGCCCCCACCGCACCACGGTAGTACCTGGGTGGGGCAGACAGGCAAGGTCAAGGTGGTTGGGCCCAGCCTCAAGCCAAAAAGCTAGGAGGCGGGGAAATATGAAAACTGGAGTCTAGGGACGCACACCCAACAGGGCAGCTCAGGGCCCTGCTTCCTGACACCGAGAGCCTCAGGAATAGCGGTTGCGGAGGCTCCGCAGACCCCCTCCCTGCTCCACAACCACCGGCTCCCTCCGTCCCTCATGGCCGCTCTGCTTCCCCAGGTCCTTGGTTCTGGTTTTAGCCTCTGCTCTCCACCAGCGCATACCCAGGCCCCGTTCAAGTGTGTCTCCTGGATGCCCCACCTCTAAGACCTCCCTCAGATGGCTTCTGGACCCTCAGCACCCTCTTCTCTCTCACGGCCATCATTTTTCCAGGACCAGCGAAATGCCCGCCCCATGCAGCAGTCCCTGAGCTGAGCATCGAATGCATCCTTTGCAAGCGCTAAGAGTCCCTCCTGGAGCTTCTGCAGCCTGGTGGTGTCTAACTGAGGCTTGCAAGAGGTCAGGTGACCAGCCCAAGAGTGAAGTGTGTAACGGAAGCCCCTGACTGCAGCCTCCTGCCCTGGGCAGGTACTGCCCCCACCACACCTCCAAAGACCCCCTTTTTCGTATGCGGCCGGCACTGACTGGGAACACTCTGCGTTTGGCACCCTGAGTCTGTAAAATGCAGTGGAGGGGACCAGCCCTTCGCCTTGGTGGTTGGGTGTTAAAGGCTGCCGAGTGCAGAGCACTGAGCAGAAGTGAGGGAGCCCTCCCCCCCCGGAGCCTGCCCCCACCTCAGCTCGGCCTTGCTTTCACTTCCTTGAGCCTCAAGCTGGTCTTTGAACAGGAGCTGAGGAGGGAACCTTACGCCTAGGGTGCCTGGGGATTGGATACAACGCCCACGCGAAGTGCCTGTGTCTTCACGGGCACACAGCAAAGACTCCTGTGCTCAGTCCCAGTAGCCGGTCTCACCGTCTCCCGTCCCCGAACGTGGACTGCTCAGAGCTTTTAGGTCTCCACGCGCCCCGTGATCCCACCGGGAGGCACGCTGCCGAGTGCCCTTGCCTCCTCGCACCCGGAGGAGCCCCCTGGCCTCCCCGCACCCTCCCCCGGCGGCCCAGCCCGGCTCACGCGGAGGTGATGGCTCGGTACCGCTCCAGGCCGGCCGTGTCCCAGATCTGCGCCTTGACAGCGGCAGTGCCCAGCATGACCGTGCGGGTGGAGAACTCCACCCCGATGGTGGTGCGGCTGTCGTGGCTGAACTCGTTGCGAGTGAAGCGGGACAGCAGGTTGGTCTTCCCCACGCCGGACTCGCCGATGAGCACCACTGGAGGAGGGAGAGCCAGGGGGTGAGCTGAGCAGAGCTCCCAGCCTTCTGAGCCCGGAGGGTCTGCTCCTCAGAAAGCGAGGAGGACACACGGGGTCCTGGCAGAGACGGGGGCCTACAACTTCCCACACCGGGTATCGGGGCAGAAGGGCCCAAAACCAGACTCGGGTAAGGGGCTGGAATGGTTCCGGGCCTGGTCTGATGAGACAAGCCTGCAGCCAGCCTGCGGTTCTGGTGACGGGTGACGTCTGCGGGTGCACTCAGCCCCGATGGTGGCGCGGCTGTGTGTGTGTGTTGGTGTTCAGGGCTGGGGGGAGGGTAGCAGGGGTGTGAATGTGCACAGGGATGGTGGAGAGTCTGGGGAGGGTGCACATCCCTGGGTAGGGAGTGTGAGCACTGAGCCGAGGACAAGTGGGAGGGGTGTGTGTGTGGGGGAGGGTGTTTGTGCAGGAAGCATAGGTGGGACGAGAAGTGTGGGAGAAAGCTCAGCAGACAGCACCTTTGGGCCAGGGGGGAGGTCTGGAGGTGTGTGTGTGTGTGTGTGTAAAAAGTTAGGACCCAGTTGTCCCCACAGAGGGTCAGTCTTGCATGGGGCTAGGTGTTAGACCCTGTGTGTGTGACCTTCAACAAGTTACTGATTTCTCTGACCTTCTTGTTCACACTAAAAATAGGAATAACAGCCCTAACTGGTTTGGCTCAGTGGATAGAGCGTTGGCCTGCAGACTCAAGGGTCCCGGGTTTGATTTGGTCAAGGGCATGTACCTTGGTTGCGGGCACATCCCCAGTGGGAGGTGTGCAGGAGGCAGCTGATGGATGGTTCTCTCTCATCAATATTTCTAACTCTCTATCCCTCTCCCTTCCTCTCTGTAAAAAATCAATAAAATATATATTTTTTTAAATAGGAACAACAATGGTACGTATCTTATGAGTTATTGTAAGAAATAAATTAGATGTTGCCCAAGATATAGTGCGTGTGCAAAACTGTTACTTACTCTCATGACTGTTGGTGGGCCAGCCTTTTTACTTTTAGATTTTTAGGGACAAGGAGCCCCCAGAGGGTCCTGAGGAGCCTTTGGGCCAGAGGGCAGGGGCCAGGTCCAGACTCACCCCGCGGGCTGATGGGAGTCAGGCTCACAAATCGCACAGGCACTGCGCTAAGCATAAAGGATTACAGGAAGCCCCGGATGGTTCTAGAAAGTCATGGCAAGGGTGTATGTGTGTGTGTGTGTGTGTGTGTGTCCCCTATTGGGGACCCAGTCTACCCTCATCCCTCCCAGTGAGAGGGTGCAAGCCCTGTCCTTAGGCTCCAAAGGTGCTGAGGTCAAGGGCTTTGGAGTCAGACAGATTGGGGTTTGTGCTGACTTTGTGACCTTTTGTTAATCCTCACCCAAGGATACTTTTCCATCGATTCTTAGTGGAAGGAAGGGAGAGAAACATCAGTGTGAGAGAGACATATTTAATTGGTTGCTTTCTGCACATACCCCGACCAGGGGATCGAGCTTGCAATCGAGGCACGTGCCCTTGACCGGAATGGAACCCAGGACCCTTCAGTCCACAGGCCGACACTCTATCCACTGAGGCAAACCGGCCAGGGCACTTTGTGACCTTTTGTAAGCTACTTTGGTTCTCATCCATTGAAGTGTATGGAGTGCCTACTAAGTGCCCAGCACCGTCCTAGAGCATTTACATCTATTAACTCATGTAACCCTCACCACACTGCCGTGAAGCAAGTACCATTACTGCGATCGTCGCATTTTTACAGAGAAAGGAGGCACTTGGGGGGTTAAATCACTTGAACAGGACAACACAGCCAGTGTGGCAAACACAGGTGTGCTGCCCAGATGTGCCTTCCAGGAAGGACTTACCCCAGCGGCAGGGAGTGCCCTCAGCGGACAGCCCCCAGCTGTCTGCTCCTTCTGCATCTGCCTCCGTGCAGAGGGCAGCCTCCCTGATCGATCTGCCTCTCCCGGGCGGGCTGCACCCAGTGCCCAACAAGGCAGGGTATCAGCGCCCCCGCCTTAGGCCAGGGCTGTGACCCTGCCTTGCAGTTTAACTCTCTGCCCAATCCTCTCTCTCCGCGCCCCCCCCCCCCCTCCTTCCAATGGTGTTGATCCATATGAACATCTTTCAGGGCAAACTTCTGAGTGGCTGCTTCTGGAGGCCCAGCCTGCAGCAAGGAGTGAGCGGCAGGGCTGAGATTTGAACTCTCTGTCTGGCGCCTGACCATGATGCTTTCAAAATCAAAGAACTATGGGGGGCCAAAACCAGTTTGGCTCTGTGGATAGAGCATCGGCCTGCGGACTGAAAGGTCCCAGGTTCAATTCCTGTCAAGGGCATGTACCTTGGTTGTGGGCGCGTCCCCAGTAGGGGGTGTGCAAGAGGCAGCTGATAGATGATTCTCTCTCATCCATGTTTCTCACTCTCTATCCCTCTCTCTTCCTCTCTGTACAAAATCAATAAAATATATATTTTTAAAAAGAACTTTGAGGGGTTGTTACAGTGATTAATAAGCTAGTGGCTGGCACGCAGGAAGGGCTACATAAATGGCAGGTAGTTACCAGTAGTATTCGTGCCCCAAACTCTTGCTAGCTCTGACCGGGTCTCCTCTTCCTGGGAAAGACGACCGGCTCCCCAGCTCCCGGGAAAAAGGCAGCTGGGAGAGACCCAGGAAGAGACCAGCAGAGGCAGCCCTTCCTGTGGTTTTTACATCTCTTACCAGGACCCCCTCGCTCTCACTCGGTCTCCCCTTCCTGGGAAAGAAGCTGGGAGTACGGGTTCGCCTGTGTCCCAAGTGAGGGTGGGGCTGCGGCTGGGAGAGGCAGTGGGCGGGGTGGCTGGACAGGGAGTCAGAGCGCTGCCAGTCCACCCTGCTCTGAAGGAGGGGTGGAGGTGAAGGGCTGTGGGGCTGGGGGACACTACGGGGGCCAAACACAGGAGTTTAGAATAAAGAGCTCGTTTCCTGTACATCTCCCCAGAACGATGGCTTTTCCCTCTTCAGTCTGCCTGTTCCTCCCTCCCTCCCTCTCTCCAGGAGTGAAGTCCTCTCAGCAGTCTGACCTCCACCCCTCATGCTGCAGGGGATGACTATTCCTAGGGACTTGGCCTCAGATTAAGAAGGGGGCAGAGGAGCCTAACTCGGCACTCTGAGAGAGAGCAACCCCATTCATTATTTACAGCCCCAGGGCATTCTGGCAGCCCTCAGGCTTCTGCCACAGGAACCAGACCCTCCCCCAGCCCTGCAGCTTTATTGCTCATCCAAAGGAACCATAAGCCCTAGGGGGTCCGGGTAAGAGATTAAAAAACAAAACACAAAAAAAACACAGCAACAAACCCACAGGAGGGACTGCCTCTGCTGGTCTCTTTCTGGGTCTCTCCCAGGCTCCCTCTTTCGTTATGAACCCCAACTTACCCTTAAAGACGAAGTTATAATCCTCCTCGGTTCCGTTCCCCATGTCGGCTCCGCATGGAGGGCGCAGGTGGCCTCGGGGGCAAGGGGCAGAGGGGACGGGTCTGTGCGTTGCCTCGATGCCCTCAGCCCTCAGCTCTGAAGAGACCGGGATCTAGCCCTTCTCTCATTGGAGGTGAAGAAACGTCTGCAGCCAGAGGGACTGGGACTCACGCTGAGGCGAGGCCGGGCAGGCTCACCTCTGCAGGTGGAGGTGCCTGAGGAAGCTGAGCGAGGAACAGGAAGAGCAGGCCGGCTGGGACCTGGGCCCCGGTGGGTGGAGACGGTGACGTCAGACAGGTTAGACAGGTTGGGTGTCTGCTCTCGCCCGGCCCGGGCTCCTGCAATTAGGTGAACAGGCTCCGGAGGGTGACCGACCGTAGGGGAAGCTGGGACGGGGCCTTCGGAGAGCCAGCTGAGGACTGAGTGCATGTTGTTCGGCTCCTGGGACCTGTGGCCAAGACGGGTCCAGCTGCCAGTGAGAACCGGTCCCTCAGGGAGCAGAAACCTACTTGGCCTCCTCTTCTTCCTTCAGAGCCTCCGGTGGGGGAGGGGGGCCGCTGGGGGCACCGGAGGAACGGTGACAGGATGGCCATGACCCTGCAGAGCTCTCGGAGCTGCCTCTTGGGTGCAGCACACTCTGCCCCTCCCTGAGAGCCTGGGAGCGGCAGCATTTCTCACTCTGGGTGGAGCTGGAACCTGCCGCCTACCTACTTTCTTAGGAAGAGTGCCTTCCTGGAGCACAGGGGGACGGCTGGCCGCTCCCCGCCCAGACCGGCTCCAAGAGCGCTGGGTAGGGGGGCACCTGGGGCAGAAACAGCCAGGCAGGGTGAGGGGTCTGGGTACAGGGGCAGGATCTGGAGATGAGTTTCTTCAGATCACTGCCTAGGACCTTTGGCCTCAAAACAAGCCAACCCGCCTGCAAAGGGCTTCGGGATCTGCAGGTCTGGGTAAGCGTGTGAATGTCTGAGAGAAGAAGAACCCAGGGGTGGCCCCCTCCCAGCCTAAGGGTCGGAAAGGCACCCTACCAACGTCGGGACTGAAGGACACTGAGCTCTCAGGCCCCATGTTATTTTTGTCCAGCATGCCCCCCACTGGCCCCTGCTCCTGGAGCTCCCTTCCAAGGTGCTGCCAATCAGGTGGGTAGAATGCTGCTCCGAGTGGTCGAGAGGTCCCTCCCCGTCCCAGCTTCCACACTGGCTGCTGGAGGCCCTGGTGGGTGAGCAGGTGGGCATCTGTTTACGGGCCAAGGAGAATCCCGTAAGCCATCCCCGCTCCTTCCATCTCCCGGCTCCATCCAGCCGAGACCCACGCACCAGGAGTCGCTGGTTTGTTTCCTGGTCAAGGCACATGCCCAGGCCGGCCGAGGCTCAATTCCCAGCAGGGGGCGTGCAGGAGGCAACCAATCCATGTTTCTTTCTCATCGATGTTCCTATCGCTCTCTCCCACTCCCTTCCTCTCTAAAGTCAATAAAAACATTTTAAAAAAATACACATGACAGGAGTGAAATTTATTCTTGGAAAAAACAAAGTCCCCTTCTTCCCCCCACAGTCCAGGAAGGGGTCCCCAGGGGCCTTGCCCCTCCAAATAGTCATCTCTCTCGTCTGGCTCCTACTTCCATCAGTGCCCTTACGATGCTGCTACTTGGGTGAGGGGCTCCTCCAGGTACTGCACCAAGGCCTGGGCCTGCGAGAGGGGAAGGAGAAATCAGTGCCACACAGGGCCTGCCAGGAGAGGGGTCCCAAACCCAGGCAGACTCCCGATGCCGAGAACCCAGCCCCTAGCCCACCACAAGGACTGGGTGACGTGAGGGGGGGAGGGGGTAGGCGTGGTGATGAAGAACAAAGGCCAGGCCTAGGGTGGAGAGGGATGAGCACATACACACCTTCGCCTTGAGCATTCCGAAGCCAACAGTCTCCTTGGCGTACATGCACAGCAGAAGGTTGGCCACGCGGGTGATGGCGACGCGGCCCTCCTGGTGGGGTGACATCACAGGATGGGACATTCTGCTTGGCACCCTTCGCTCCCTCTTTCCTCAAGGAGTCCTCTTGAGAGAGACTCTATCCTCTTTCACAGCCCTGGCCACAGGGTCCTACACTCAGATCAGCCGTAGCACAGCTACCTACGGACCGAGTTACCCTGGGAAACTAACCTCTCAGAAGCTCAGGTTCTCTTTCTGTAGCCAGCGGCTGAGGGTGCTAGTACACAGGAAGGAGTTTGGGATCTGCAGAGGGCGATCCCAATGCATGATGCCATTATTATGGGTTCACCCCCAACACACTGTAAGGGGCTTGAAAGCAGTAATCCAACGTATTTTTCCTCTTTCCCCATAGCAATGTTTTTCAGACTGTAGGTCTGACCCCAGAGTTAAGATCAATATTAAAAGATAAAGGAAGCCTGGCAGGCATGGTTCAGTGGTGGAAGGTTGACCTCTGAACTAGGAGGTCACAGTTCCATTCCTGGTGAGGGCATATGCCTCCGTTTCAGGCGCGACCCCCAGTGGGGGGGATGCAGGAGGCATCCAGTCAATGATTTTTTTCTCATAATTGATATTTCTATCTCTCTCTCCCTCTTTCTTCCTCTCTGAATTAAATAAAATTATTAAAAAAAAAAAAGAAAGAAAAAGAAGAGAAATTAAGTGCATTGCATGTAGTAAGGGGAGTACTGTTTCATGAGACCTGTTTTTGGGGGGTATATGTGTGTACCACGCTCTGACTTAAAATGTGTTTCCTATGGCTGGGTTGTGGCCAAACGTTTAAAAGTGATTGCCGCCCTGACTAATTTGGCTCAGTGCTGACTGAAGGGTCCCGGGTTCAATTCCAGTCAAGGGCATGTACCTTGGTTGCGGGCACATCCCCAGTAGGGGTTGTGCAGGAGGCAGCTGATCGATGTTTCTAACTCTCTATCCTTCTCCCTTCCTCTCTGTAAAAAATTAACAACATATGCTTAAAAATAAAAGCAACTGCCTTATAGCACCAACTCTAGGACAGGTACCCAGTAGGAGTCATTAGTTGAACTGAAATGCATCCGTGGTTGGGCAGGGGGTGAGAGAGAGGTAGGCAGCTGAGTTACAGTGGAAATCCTTTACTCCTGGGGCCTTTTCAGTCTGGCTCAGCTAACCCTCCCTCGGTAACCGCCGTGTGCTGGGAGTCGGGTGCTGCACCCCTGCTCCTCCGGCCTCACCTCCTAACAGCGTCTCCCAGTCTCAGGCCACCCCACCCACATCGGCCTGTGTGATCTTCCACCCGGCCCCATTTTGCCTCACGGTTTTTGTACCTGCTGTTCTGTCAGAACTGTTTCCCCCTACACAGCCACATGGCTTGCCAACTGCCTTCAAATCTATGATAAAATGTCACTTTTTCAGGGAGATGGTCCCTGGCCCATGTCCCCCTCTATCTCACTTCCTTGCTTCATTTTTCCCCATAGCATTTTCAATAACCAATGCACCGCATACTTTTTAAACTTACACATTTTACAAAACATATTGACAAACTTAGTTTACGAAACATACACATTTTGCTTATTTTAAGACATAAAACTGTAAACAGCTTTTGTCTGTCTGCTTGCTTCTTCCCCCCGTCCTGAGAACACTGCAGGTATTTGTTGACTGAACAAAAGTGAGTCATAGCTTCTGTTTCCAAGAAGCTCACAACTTCCCTTATGAACTTGAGAATGACCACTTCCCTTTTCTGGACTTCATCTCCTTTCTCTGTAAAACGAAGGGATTAGACAAGGGTTTGGAGACTCTCAATGAATCTGGGATGCCAACACTTGGTGTGCACCTCACTCTAGAGTTTCTATCTCCACTCTTATTTGGTCTTCACAACAACCCTGTGAGTTGGTGGGGGGCGAGGGGAGTGGGGGGGGGGTTAGGTAAGGAAGGGAGGCTCAAAGAGGTTAAATAATTTAAGCAAAGTTCCACAGATGGTAAGTGGCTGGCTGAGACCACAACTCCAGGAAGATGCTGGATCCAGGACTCCTTCCTCACCACTTGATGCATAAGACCCTGCCTATTATAAACGCTGCTGGTGCTACATCTTAGCAATCGTCCATAGATCCCAACCATCCAGGATGGGGTACAGGTCACCCCCGGGGATCCCCTTTGGGGACCAGAGGAAGTGGCTCCTCTCTCCATACCATGCAGTCCATGAGGATGAATTTGAGATTGTCTTCATTAAATGCTTGATTCCCGTTGCGGTCGTAAGCGGCCCAGATGTTGCTGGCGATGGCTGCGGTGACCCGTGCGTCAGTGTCCCCGTAACCAGAGTAGGCCAGTAGAGATCCCTCGTTATTCAGCAGCCTGGAGGACAGGGAGGGACAGCGACGTGCTCAGTATGGGGAGTGAAAGGCATGGGTTCCCATCACAGTCCCCGCCACTGACGCTTCTAGAAAGCAAGGGTCCGGGCTGAGTGTGTCCTGGACTGTGACCCAAGCTCCCAGCATGGCAATTTCCATCTTCCTGAGGGGCCCTCCATGCCAGCTGCCCTAGCTGCTGCCCTTTCCCTTCCCTGAGATCCTTCCCCTCGCCATCGGAGCCTCCCTCAGAGAGCCGCGCGCTGCCCCACTCCGGTGCTCGCCACTAGGTCCTCGGCCCACACTCACAAGGTGCTCTGGACACCTCCAGTGTTGGCTTGGCTTAGCACCTGGGTCAGAGCCTTGGGCCGCAGCATGCCAGCGATTCCTAAGCCTGGACTCTCGCACCTAGAGACCCTCGAATTGCCTCCTGTGGGGCTCCGCCAGCCGCTTCCGGTACTGCCCTGCTCCAAAGCGCTCTGGGAATTGTAGTTTCCCGGCCTTGCTGCATGGTTCTGGGCCCACCCCGCCCCGCCCCGCCGCGGGCGCCACTGGGAATTGTAGTTCCTTGAGGCCTCGCGAGGCACCCTGGGAACGATAGTTCGCCTTTCCACGGAGACCAAACGGTTATGGGGGACGCGGGGGGAGAGGGGCGTGAAAGGACCGTGGCGGTATCGGAAGACCATTGAACTCCTTCGGGAGAGAGAAAAGTTATCATGTTCGCTTCATAATCCACGAGCCAGCAATTTTTTAAAAAAATCCCTATATGTGTCAGGCTCACCTTTGGTTATTTTCAAAGTGATTTTTGCCTTGTGCACCATCCTATGATAAGGGGTAAGGGATACTGAGGACGCCGAGGCTCGGGAGGGTCACGCGGGCAAAGCCCTTTTCTCGGGAACCTGAACTGAGAGAGATTTTGGGGGGACGCGCCGAAGGGGAGGAGGTCAGCCTCCCGGGGCAGAGGCCCCGGGCCCAGGAAGGACTTGGGTTTCCCGAGAAGGGACGGCCAGCTTCCGCCCGGAGCGGAGAGAAGGAGGCGACACAGAGAGCCCTTTGTCCCGCCGCGGGCATGGCCTGCCGGGCGCAGGGGCAGCGGTGGCCGGACGGGCTGCGGCGGGGTTCGCGCCTCCGATGGGCCTGGTCTCCCGCGGGGAGCTGGCCCCACCCCCTAACTCCCCCCGGGAGGGCCCCGCCCCGCCCGGGCCTCCGGGGTCAGCGGCCCCCGAGGCCGTGTCCGGCTGCGGGACCCGGGC